GGGGGGGAGAGGGGGCACGTCTTAGCGGCAAGGCCCAGCTGGGGCAACAAAGGGTTGACAGAAGAGTCAATCAAGCAGTGTTTGGGAGTGAAAAGTCCTTTCAAAGTCTGAGATCTCTTCCTTTACTGTGTACATCTGTGTGTATATATATATATGTGTGTGTGTGTGTGTCAAGTTGCATGCACTCACACACACACACAAGCCAGTGTGGCATAGTGGTTTGAGCATTGGACTAGGACTCTTGAGACCAGGGTTAAAATCCCCACTTGGACATGGAAACACTAGGTGATCTTGGGTAAGTCACACACTCTCACCTTCAGGGGAAGGTAATGGTAAACCTTCTCTGAAGAAACTGTGCCAAGAAAACCCCGCGATTCATGATCATGATCTTCTTAACCCAGACTGTTGCATGGACATTGGGCACATGTTCTTCCTTTCTGCAAGAAAGGCCCCATGTTGACTTTTAAGAGTTGACAGGGAACCAGCTTGAGGGATTCTTGTGGGAAGAAAGTTGAGATACAAGTGTGAAAATCTGTCCTTGCCTTGGCCCCATAGGGACCATTCCCATGTGGCAAGGGACAGATTGGCTCAATGTCCCCCATGCCAAATGGGTAAGGGAAGCTCTCTTACCAATAGATGACCTTGTTCCCCGAGGCTAGCTGTCCCTTGTGGTAGGCATATACTGTTGTGAAGGAGGTTACTTTGTCATGGGTAGTGGAGGTGGACACTTTCTCACCCGGCTTCTACTGCCTTTGTCGCCAGCCCTGTTGCCCCATAGCCAAGGAGAGGCAGGGACTCTACTGGCATCATCAACTCTTCCCCAAAACCAACGTAGGGGCCTGTGACTCTTGCCACCATTTCTTCACCTGTATGATTTTTAAAAACATCTTTGCCTGATGAAGAAGAGAGCGTAAAGTGCTTTGCACCTTTTGGTTGACAGAGGATTTGGGGTTGAACTAGGACCCTGGGATCAAATTCCCTCTGCTCAGCCATGGAAACTCATTGGATGACTTTGGGTAAGTCACACTCTCTTAGCCTGAGAGGACAGTTAATTCCTCTGAAGGAATCTTTCCATGAAAACCCCAAGATCTGCTGTAGGCTTGTCAGGAAAGGCAGTAGTTGGAAAAGACATGAAGGCACACAAAAAGAAAGGTATCACATGTATTTTAGGTTTAATTGTGACGGGATCAACGTTCCCCAAACGCCCTCTTTACAACATCTGTGCTCAGAACAAGCGGTCCCTTTCCACAAGGCTAAAGGATTGGTACAGTCCTGCTCCACTTTCAGAGGGCAGTGGCAGATGGTGAGGGGCTACACCTCCTAACACACTATTGCTAAACCACTCTCCTACAAATTGATTTGGCTGGGAGCATAGGCTCCCTTCTGTTTAAATAGGACTTTCTCATTTAAGGAGAAAAAGCAGCAGTTTTACTACTTACGAACTGGGTAGTTTCCATAGAAAGGATGGATCTGTATGAATGCCAGGTACAGGCACACCCAAATCCATCCTTTATTCCAAGTCCTGACACTTAGCCTCTGGAAGGTTCCTCATAATATAACATGGCTTTAGACCAAGCAGGGCCACCACCATTTTAAGTAGTCCTATTCAAATTCTGCCTTTTCTTTCCCATTCAGCCATTAGTTTGTCTCAAGTGTTAACTTGGAACATGTTCCTGGAGCATTTCAAGATCACTGGGGGCATTCTGAAGGTGCATGTGGTAATCCTCACACGGAAACTCAAGGCCCAAGCATGGAATGACCTGGGAATCCACATGCCACTGCCCTCTTATCCTGAGTGAAAATACTTCAGGAACTTCACCAACGTGGGAGATCATTTTGATCCCTGCCAAACTGTTGGCACCAACAGGCATTAAAAACCTGCTGGGCTGGAGCAGCCAACTACAGGAGCAAACTGTTTCCCTTCCAAACCTCCTGGAAAGTCTGCTGCAACCTTGCACAATTTCCCACCCCCCTTTGGCTCTGCTCATGGAAGAGGGCGGTTTGCCCAAGCCATTGCCGCTCACAGGAGCCATCGAGAGCCTACACGTGTCATTTCAAAGGCTCCCTACAATCCCTCTCCTTGTTTTTCCTTAGTTATACCACAGGTGAGGGCCTTGTTTCTGTCTACCCTAACAGCATGACCACATCAGTGCCTCTGCAGGAAGCATCCGTCTGAAGGTTAAACTCTCGATTACTTTTGCCTTCGTGCTCCTCAGAGGCTTCTAGCAGCTGCAGGGTTGAGCTTGGTCCACAGTCATTCCACACTGCTGACTACTCCTCTGAGACAGAGCCTCTTTTCCTGTTTTTGGCTTGTAGCTGATGTTTACATTTTTGATGAGAGAGAAGTAGCAGTAAAAGCCGAGACTGCCTTTGAAATTCAAAATTTTTCCTGAATTCTATTGAGCTCTGAGGTTACTTAAGAGACTTAGAGTCAGCTGTGTTTGACTGCAAAAGGCCTCCTTGTCTGGAGATACTATGGGTTAGAACAGGAGCTTGGAAGAAAACATGTCTAGCAAAAATCAGCACTGGCCAAAACGATACCCTCCCCGTCTTTAGAGAGACCATTTTCTTGTAAGTACATACACTCCTTCTATGTGACCAATGCAATGAGCCCAGTAAAACTGACCTGAAGTGACATTGTATTGCTAGCTTTATTAATGCAACCATTAGTTCATTAGTCCTTTGTCTGATTCTTATAAGGGTTCTGTAAAGACAGTGTGACACTGGAAATTAGCCATTTTGCTTGCATTCTCCTTTATATGTAGCGCTGAGACAGATGTGTTCCCCCAGATGGTTGGGTCTGCAACTGCTGCCCATCCTTCACTCTTAGCTACATTGAGCAGACTTATGAGTCATGATTCCAACTGCATATCCAGTGGGCCGCAAGTTCCCTGCCTTTCCACTAGACCCCTTCGCAAGCAAGGCATGAGCCAAAGGTGCTCTGAATATATAACACTTGCTACCAAGGCTGCTTAAGGCAGTGGTTGGTGCCCTAAGTTCACAGACCCTGAGTTCCTCCCAGCCCTACCAACTTTAACAACAGTTGTCAGAACCATAAGCCATGAACTCTGTTATTTATGCTCTGAAAAGCAAGGTAGCA